CCTAACTTGTGGTTCCCTTTTTTTTTTTTTTTTTTTTGAGAGAGGTTTCTGCTATAGGGCTCGTGCGCTCGCCAGACAGCCAGAGAGAGACAGACAGAAAGCGAGAAATCACCCCCCAGAGGGGATGGTCACGCCGCAATCCCTTCTCCTCCATTCTCCCCTCGGGATCTTGGGCACACATGCACACGCACTCGGCGTGAGTTTAAGCCACCGGGTCCGGGACTCCAACCACGATCGACTACGTGGGAGTCCAGCAACATAGCCATTACGCTAACTGCTGGTCCCAGGGGTTAGTAAAAACTCTGGAGAAGCAGAATGAAGTGATGTAATGCAGAAGTTTAACCTGTAACTAAAACACAGCACAGGGAGGTGAAAACAACAGCTTTTCTTTGAGACCAATCCCTATTCCAGCCGAGTTATTTAGTATCTGTGAACCTCGGTTTCCTTGTTTGTGATGACAACTATAATGGCAGTGAAAGCTAACACTTACGGAGTGCCTGCCTTCTACTAAGTACAGACAGGATCTCATTTAAACATGGCTACCGGAGCCAGCAGGTGGCATGGTGGTTAAGGGCACTGGACTCCCACATGGCTGACTAGTTCAAGTCTCAGACCTGGAGGCTTGCTTCCTCACTTTCCCTCTCTGTCTCTCTTTTCCTCTTCCACTCTGTCCCTCTCTGATCTAATTTAAAGTAAATAAAATAATTCTTTTAAAAAAATAATAAACCTGACTACCACTCTGTGATGTCATCTCCCCATGGGACAGAGGAGGAAAACGAGGCAAATGGAGGTTACAAAGCTATTAAGTAGCTGTGTTGGGACTCTAACCTGCACCACTGGAATCTGCAATCCGTATTCTTAACCACTATGCTGCCTTGTGGGCTAACACAGGGATATGGATATTTGTGGGGCCAAAGGTAAGCTATGTGAACAACCTGGCACATAGTAGGTACTAAGAAAAAAGGATGTTATCTTATCTGATTTGAAACAAAATACGCTTCTGAAACAAGGGATAGCATCGCTAGAAACCGAGATATAAAGACTAGATTAGTGAAAGGTGTGAGGAACGGGCTGGACCACAGACTGAAGAGGGCATTAGCCCGTGAAAGTCCTCTTGTGTCGTTCACAGGCAAAGACGGGTAACAACTGGACCTAGTCCCTCTAAAGGGACTCACACTTTTCTTGGGCGTGTTGGCCATCCTGGAGCTATCTGGGCACTTACAAAAATTAGGCGGAGGGCACTGGTTCCAAGCTTAGTGAGCATCAGAGTCACCTGGGTGACCTATGAAGACACAGCTCTCTAGGCCCCACTCCAGATTCTCAATTCCTAGTTCTAGGCAGGGCCCAGCAACCTGCATTTCTAACAGATCGGGGGCTCCACTCGCTCACACTGGTTCCATGGCACCAACCAGGAAGATACTCATTGCTGTGTTATTTATGATGCCTGCTGGAAGCAATTTCATTATCCTGTCTTGGGGGGACAATAATTAAGCCGGTGACACATGCTAATGAAAGAACACCCTGCAGCGATGCCAAACAAAAGCTTCTGATAACGCAGAGATCTCAAAACAATGAGTGGCGGAAAGAACCAGCAGGACAGAGAGCTGTAAGTCATTAATTTAAGTTCAAAGTACAAAAAAACATGTTTTTCGAAGATAAACACCTGCTTAAACACAGTGGGTTGAGGCGCAGCTTTTTGAGCCAACATGCACACTATCCGAGAAACCTGCAATGAGGTTTAATGATACAGTGTTAAGCTACCGGTCAATGAATTGGCAGGACAGAGCAGCAGGCTTCTCTAACTTTTCACAAAACGGGTACTCAGATCCTGACAAGGAAAATTAAATGAACACTGTAAGGCTCTTTGTAAGTGCAGACCAGAAGGCCAGGGCCTTCTGCGAGGTGGGGTGAGCTACTTACGTTTGTTTCTCATGATGACTGTGGGCAGGGATGAGGTATCATGCGCCTGGAGGCTCCCTTTGGGCTGCTATGAAAAAAGAAGAGAAATACATGAAGACTGCATTGACAGTTCACCTCTTGGCCAGTTTCGAAAAGCCGAGGGCGGGGAGAGACCAGAAACAGGAAGAGCGCGGCTCAGTCCACATTCCTAAACCTGCACTGGCGCTCCGCACCCCGTGTCCCAGTCCCAGTCACCCACTTGTCGTCTTCGGCACCTGCCAGGCACTCTGATGCTGCAAATGCTTTCTGTTTTGTTTTGTTTTCTTTCAGTTTTTGCTACATGGTATGTGCACTCACCAGAGAGAAAGAGAGGGAAATAGACAAATCACCCCTAGCAGGGATGGCCACATCACAACCCCTTCTCCATGCTCTTCTTGGGATTTTGGGCATGCACGCACACACACACACACACACACACACACACCCTGCATGCTTCCTGAGCCACCAGGTCCAGAACTTGAACCATGGGTTGGCTATGTGGGATCTAGCAGCCCCAACCTCTACACTACCAGCTGGCCTGATGCTGTTTCTTTTTTCTAGAATGCTTTTCTCACCTTCGAAGCATAGGTCCTTCCATTTCAGGACTGGCAGTTATCAGCTCCTGGGTGAAGCTATCCTTTCACTTCCTTTCTATCCTCACCCAAGGCAGGGACTGGCACCCCTGTAAAAGTCTGTGCCCACCTCCACAGCAGCAGCTGCACGCCTGTCCTCCCCCACTGGACTGCTGGCTCGTTAAAAGCAGTACCTGGGCCTTTTCATATTTCTCCAGTCACTAGCGTATGTAAGGTACCAAATTTGTACATAAAAGGCTCATTTCAGTTAAGACTTTAGTTATGGCATACAACAAAGACTTTACAACACTATAGATTAAAGAAATCAGTCGGAAATCATTCATTATGGCCAGCCTGAGGCCTGGGGTATCCAAGAGCTAGATCCCACGTGGCCTACTGTGCATTCAAGTCCTGGACCTGGTGGTGGCTTGAAAAACACTCCACACACATGGGCATGTGTGCCCCAAATCCTGAAAAGACAGAGGAGGAGAGAGGAATGCAGTGAGACTGTTCTCCATGGAGCTGTGAGGTCTTCCAATTTTTCTAGAGAAATCATATATCCAAACTGACAGGAAATATGAGTTTTACATAATTGGTCTAACTCAAATGTTTAAAAACACTGAATGAGCCAAACGAAATACATGTTCACAGGCTGAGGATGACCCAGGGCGCAGAAGCCTGCCATCTCTACACTGGTTCAGAGTTTCTAGACATGAGGCCCTTGGATCAAAAGCACCATCTGGGAACTTACCAGACATGCAGATTCCTGGGTCCTGCCCTAGAATCTGAGACTCTGCAGGTAAGGTGTCCATTAAGAGCCCCTGAGGTGATTCTGATGCACGCTCGAGATTGGGGCCACAGCACTAGAACGGAGCTGATCGTATTCTCGCCAATTATGATAAGGCATTTACGGGTGACCCCACACAGGCTCCCTAAAAGACATGCCCCCAGGCCCATGCTTGCCTTTTTTTTATTTTTTAAGGATTTTATTTAATCTTATTTATCCATTCATTTATTTTAATTTGACCAGAGAGAGAGAAAGAAAGAGAGAGAGAGAGAGGGAAAGTGAGAAATCAAGCTACCAGGTCCAGGACCTGAACCGTGGTCAGCCATGTGGGAGTGTCCAGCACCTTAACCACCATGCCACCTGCTGGTCCCCTGGCCCATACTTGCTTTTTAAAAGCCACGAGGAGCATGCAAAAGGAGTGCACATTCGTCCATAGCACGTACCGCCACACAACGAGAACCCCTCATTCCTGGGCCATGTGATCACGGTCAGTTACACATGCCCGTTGGGTAAAGGGTTGCCACCAGACGAGGGAGAACCAGCACCCCCTCCACTCCCAATAGGAATCAAAGCCCGACTTCCACCTGCTGTCCGCATGATCCTGCAAGGGAAGCTAGGTGTGTGCACAGCCAAGGAGGTCGCAGATGTGCTTAAGAAAACCACTTCAGGGCCAGCAGGTGGCATAGAGGTTAAGGAACTGCACGCCCACATGACTGATCGTGGCTTGAGTCCCATACCTGGCAGCTCGCTTTCTCACTTTCCCTCTTTCTCTCTCTCTGGTGAGTGTGTAAGCCTTATAGCAAACTGAAAAATAATAGTGATAAATATAATTAAATAAAAATAATTCTAAAAAAAAAGAAAACCACTTTAATGGCATTACAGAAGCAATAAACGCAGAAATATGTATTTAACATGTAGATGTTCTGAAAGCATTTTCTTTTCCAAACATCTTAAATCCCCAAGATTGTTAACCCAGAAGAGAACTGATCACCTTTTAAAAATATTTTTAATAATTACTTAATTTTATTTATTATTATTATTTTGAGAGAAAGTGAGAAAGCAAGCCACCAGGTTCAGGACTTGAACCACATTCAGCCATATGGGAGGGCAGCGCTACAATGACCATGCCACCTGCCAGCCCCGAGAACTAATCACTTTAGACGGGTATGATTTTTTTGTTTGTTTTTGTTTTTAGAGTTAGTACCAAAATGATTAAAATAAACCACCCTTACCACAGCCTGAACTCTCCCAAATCCTATGGACTGCCCTAGATTTAAGGCCTTTAATTTTAAGTTTTCTTTAAGCCAAACGTGTCTTACCTTCATTTTGACCTTGGCACAGGAGGCCAGACTCTCTCTGCAGCCTTTGTGGACAAACGCACTGCAATCTGAAAAGAAAGCAAAACCAAAGGTCACATGGACGAAGCGAGCCGATCTCAGACTCCAACTTCCCAGCACTACACGCAGCCTATGGATCCCCAAGCACAGCTGCTCCCATGTAAGGGTGTGACTCCAACTGCAGTGACAGAACGCAGCCCTCTTCCAGGAAGCAGCGCTGTGACGCTATTTGGAGGAGGTGAGACAAAAGCAGATGTGATTTCTGATTAACACAACCTAATAATCTGGGACTTTTCAGACAGGAAACTGTCAAAACTAAAAGTGAAAGTGTGGGCCATCAATATTTAATTTTAAGTCACACACAAATCCATAAAGCCCCTAACGGGGCTTATGAAGTTTGCATGACCGCAAGAAAGTCCCCAGTATGAATGTCAAAGTCTACTGGCTTCTGTCCTTCTACTCGGGATCTTAACTACCTTAAGCTTTTTACAACCCACTCGCTGAGTCAAGAGCCACATAAGAACAGTCATCGGAATCACCTCAAAGCACCTCACTCAAGAAAAGGTGGGAGACTTCCTGTAAGGTTCAGGGAGAGACCACAGCCGGCCCAGCACATGACTTTATCTCGACTCTTGTTTTTCCCTCCTCTGGCCTTCAAGGGCCGCTGATGTGAAAAACCCAGGCCCTGCCTCAGAAGGGTCGTGGTCAGCCCTTGCTGCTGCTATGAACTCATCGACAGCACTGTGCCAGATGTCAGAGGTGAAGCAGAGACAAACACAAGTCTGGTCTATGGGGACGCCCAATGGGGAGAGGCTCTGGGAAGGGCTCACTCAGGAAGTCACCACAGATAACTGCTCGTGGGGCCGTGCCCCGCAGACTGACGCAGGAAGCACCACAGTTCCTGTCAGTGTCAACGCATGGGCTGGGGGCCAAGATGCTCTTCCAGCTTGTACATGTGGGCCGGGGTCGGGGGACTGGAATGACAATGAGAATGGGAGGACACAGGACAGGAAGACTGCCAGCATCCAGCCCACCGAAGGCCTTTTCCGATCCTTCAATGCCCACTCGGTCTACAGGTCTCCTCTTTAGCATCACCAGTCACGGTGTATTACGATTATTTGGGGCTGGGACCAGCAGATGGTATAATGGTTATGTTGCTGGACTCCGATGTAGCCCACTGTGGTTCAAGTACCAGTGTTGATGGCTTAAACTCAGGATGGGCATGTGAGCGTGCATGCCCAAAATCCCTAGAATGGACTGTGGCAGGGCCATTTCTCCTGGGGGGTGATTTCTCACTTTGTCTATCCAGCAAGCCATGTGCCCTGTAGCAAAAATCTCCCTTATTAAAAAAAAAAAAGAAAAAAGAAAAAAAAGAAAACAAAAACAGATTATCATTTTTTTTCCCTTTCTCCTCCAGTGAGTGCTCCCTTCGGGCAGGGACCACGCATCCATTGCTGAGTTTTCAATCCAGTCTCTACTACACTATGTGATTCATGGCACCTATCGGAATGTCTATCTGCAGACTCTCTACAAGCCAAGTCCCCGATACAACCCTGAGCGCAGTATGAGAAACAGAAACTTAACAGTAAAAGGAAAACAGGAGAAACAACTGACTTAGGTCCTGGCCCCTCTGATTGATCAGTGTCATCCCAGTGCAAGTTCCTTCTGCAGAGGCCTAAATTTCCTCATCTGTAAAGTGGAAGAGGGGCCACGTTCCCCCCCCAAGTTCCTTCTGCATGTTCTTCCGTGAGGTAGGCAGGTGAGCTCCAGGCTGCTGGACGTCAGATATAAACAGAGTGCCCTGGGAAGGCCTCGCTCAGGTGTAATAATGTATAGAGCTTAACACTAATCGAGGCAAACTTCTGTATTTTCTTTCTTTCTTTCTTTCTTTTTTTTTTTTCCCCCCAATTTATTTATCTATTTATTTGTTGTGATTTTTCAAGCCACTGGGTCCGGGAATTGAATTGCCATCAGCCATGTGGGAATCCAGCACCTTAACCACCATGCCACTTACTGGCCCCTATATTCATTTACTGGCCCCCATATTCATTTTCTAAGACAAGATGTGTTTCTGCCCAACCCTACCACTATCCTCACTGTAACTGTCGCCTCCCCTCCCCTGCCATACAGACATGCCAGAAATACAGGGCTGTCTTGGTCTAGGCCCTGGTGGATCTATCCTCTTTTCTAAGCATGAGCCTCACAGTCTTTTCTCTTTCTCAAATCCTTACACAGCTAAACCCTTTCAAATCCATCTTTAATCCCATGCCTCCTTCCCTCAATGAAATCTCAATGAACACTGGCCTGAAAACTTGAATACTGCTCAAATCTGTTTAAAAGCGAGTGCCAGGGACCAGCAGATGGTATAAGTTACATTGCTGGACTCCCACGTAGTCAACCGTAGGTCAAGTCCCAGATCTAAATCATTCCGGTGAGCGCACGCACCCTATAGCAAAAATTTCTCTTAAAAAAAAAAAAAAAAGAAAGTGACAGTGCCAGGCTGGCTAGTCCCTGTGGCCTACTTGTTGGGGAATCTGGATCCCACATAACCAACTACATAAATGAAATGCCAGCCCTGGCAGCTTGGAAACTACTTCCGGTACGTATATACACACGCTAAGATGGACAAAGAGAAGAGAAGGGACTGTGTCATAACCACATCCCTTTCTGTGGAAGAGGGCGGGCGCTTGCTTTCTCTCTCTCTCTCTCACTTGCTCGCTCTCTCTCTCTCACATGCTCTCTGGCAGTTAAAAAAGAAACAAAACAAATATGGGTCAGCAGGTGGCGTGGTGGTTGGAGCACTGGACTCCTACATGGCTGACCACGGTTTGAGTCTTGGACCTGGCAGCTTGCTTTCTCTCTCTCTGTCTTTCTCTGGTCAAACTGAAAATAGCAATAATGATAAATAAAATAAAGGAAATAATTCTTAAAAAATAATTACCAAAAAGAAAAGGGAAAATAAACACAAAAACAAAGCCTATGTTATCCTTAGGTTTAGCTGGTAGTTATACTCGCTCCCCTTGAGCCCAGTAAGTCATGTGTTTAGAAAATGTGCTCAGTAAAAACCTTTTCACATAAATTCACTTTTCAGTGAACTAAGGCATGTCCCCAGTCCCACACCGCAGCTGAGAGTTTACTATGCTCTATATTATGGTCAGGAGTCTTCGGGATAAACAGTTCCCATGGACATCTGTTTAATATGCTGAAGCACCTACTTGAAAAACACTCAACTTGTTACCAAGCTGTCCTGGACTCTGTCGCTCTGACGGTTTTAGTGCTGTGCGTGGGTGATTTAGGAACTTCAGCCCCAATGACATCAGCCCAAGGCATGGGATTAAAACCTTATTATTCTCTGTTTTAGGAAACAGATAATTACCAATAATACCAGAATTAGAGATGAATCTAATACATTTTCAATCTCTCTACCATAGGCCATATTGTCATGTTAGGAAAATCAAAGAATGATCTGGCCTTTAATTTATTTCTTTTTTTAAAGAGTTTCTAATAGCAGTAAGTAATATGCTTTTATTTAGAAAAATTACCCAAAAATGCCTCAGCACAGGGGTTAACAGGAACACATCTGACCCCTAATGAGATTCTTCTGAACTTAAAAGCAAGCAAACCCAGCTTTTTTTTTTCCCCCCTCCAAGTAGGCAACAAACATAAAAGAAAATGAAGCAAAAACTACATGACCGGAGATGATCATCTATCTGTTGCTGAGTGGTTTTTCTTTCTTTTTTTTCTTTTCTGTTTTTAACTTCTGCCACCAACTACCACAGACCTTTGGTGAACTATTAAATAACACGCATAATATTAATAAAACAAATTGTTAGGGAGACTAAGAAAACAGACCGTGAGAGAGCTTAAGAAAATCAACTTTATACAAGGGGAAGGGGAGTGGTTATGGCACATTGAACTGAAATGACAGATTTTTTTTTTTTTTTGAGAGGTTTTTGCTATAGGGCACGTGTGCTCACCAGAAAGACAGAAGAGACAGAGAGACAGAGAGTGAGAAACCACCCCTCAGGGGGGATGGCCATTCCACAATCCCTTCTTCTCTAGGGATCTTGGGCACACACGCACATGTGCCCGGCGTGAGTTTAAGCCACCAGGTCTGGGACTAGAACCATGGTGGACTACATGGGAATCCAGCAATGTAGCCATTACACCAACTGCTGGTCCCCAAATGACAGATTACTAAAGGAATGCCTACTGAAGGAAAGATGGACCTCCACGAGTTGAGTTCTATGCTATGAATAATGGGGTCTTCTGATACTTCGACCCACTGACCATCATCAGGGAATATGCTGAAGACTGGACTTCCCTAAGACTGATCTGAGAGCAAAGGCTGCCTGGGGAGACTGGCCTGATCCTTACTTAGGGACACAGGTTGAAGAACTACCATTAAGGACAGAAAGGCCAAAACTTCCTCCTATCACGTCGACCCTAAGCAAGAACACACAAATAAAACAAAAAACATTTAGAGGTGGGCAATCTAGAAATGCACACTCCAAAATTCTTCCTGCAACTCCCTGTTTGAACCCTTTAGGGAATGTGAGACCTTGCTGGGTCTCGACTCAGAGGGCTTATACACAAAAGGCATGTGAGATGTTCTTGGTAGCTGGTGTTATAACCACAGTGCTGAGGTTCGGAACAAGAGGAAAGCCACACAGAGGGCCGAGTCATCTCAGCTGAAGGACTCACCACAGCAGTTTTCATAAAAACACTGACAAACGAAAATGGAACAACATGAAAGGGTTCTGTCTGATTAAGACCTGGCTTTATTGCTTAGGACCTTTTTTGCCTTCATTTTCCCTAAACGAACAACTTTCTTTAACCAATTATATGTACTGTATTATTTGAAATAAACAATGAACTTTGTCAGAGCGCTATCTACGTAGAGGGCTGCTTTTACTCATGAAATCCCAGGCAGAGTCCAGCTATCACGGATTCTAAATTTTCATGTTTACTCCTTAGATTGCAGCTGGTCTACCTGTTTACTATTTTTTTTTTTAATCAAGAGAAACAACCTACCACAAAGTCAGATGCTGCTAACACAACAAAACTAAAGACAGCGATAATCTCTGTATCATTTTATATCTGTTTAAAGAAATGAAATAGAACTGCGGGCACGATCCAAGAATCTGAAGGTAACAAATTTCTCATGCTGAAGGACTCCAGGAGCTTCCAAAGACCCATTCAGTGGCAGCTTTACCTAATAGGTAAGAATGAGAAAGACTCCTGTCTTTCCCCCACTGAAGTCACCAAATCCCATAGTTAGAGTAGCATTTTGGCTAAGGAAAAGACCTTCCAGGGTTCTCCTAAACTGAATTACCTTGAACTAGTCCTGACCAGAAGCTTCGGGCTTTGTTTCCACCTTTTGCTTATTCGGGGGAGACTACTCAGAGGCTTCATAAATGTTTTGCTCACTGCTATTTCTCATGCCTGTCATCATGGCCATTTCCACATGGGTCCATGTAAGGGACTCAGCTTTCACCCTCAGGAGCTCAGACTGGCCCTGGTTGTAATCCAGTGGTCAGAGAAATCCACGTGTTTTAAGACATTATTCTGTGGAACCTTTTAGTATTTGCATGCAGATGGATATTAAAGTGGCCAACAATATCCGGAAGACAGGAGTCAGTCGATGGAAACCCTCATAATACATCATCGTGATGAACTCTATGGTTAATCCTTCTAAACCACGAGTCAAAACCTGACAGAGCAGCTGTCTGAGGCCTGAGGCTCCACCCAGGTCAGGAAAATAGGGTTACGTCAAACCAGAAAGGGAAGCTCCTTTCTTCTAAGAGCACAATGGTCTCCAAGGAAGAAAATGACTAACGGCAGGGACGCTCCATTTCCTGAGACTCCTGGGAAGATGCTGAGCATGAGAGGAGATGGAGGGAAGGGACAAATGACCCCAAGTCCCCAAATTACTCATGGTTTCCACTTTCTGCCAAGATAACAGATGGGGCTTCACACATACAAACACTCACTGCAGCCTCTGCTTGTCAGGATGCTGGAGAGAATCAGCCAATCACTGGTGTTGCTCTCAGAGGATGACTACACAACATTCCCTGCTTTTCACTCTCAACCCCTCCACCCCCTTTATAAGCAGCAGAGTGTACACTTACACTAGCCTTCACGCTGGGACCTGAATACTACGTGAACACGACTCTGGAACAAGGTGCAAAGCTGTGGCTGAAGCCGTGGGTTCCTGAGTTTCTTGGGGTGGGGTGCTGTGAAAACTAAAAATGTATTTTTGAACCCGAGGTGCATATTAGGGTAACAAATCCTACTGATGTCATTCCTTGTCGCTGTCTGACTCTTTGCAGTTTAAGCATGAAACACATTAACTGTCTTTTTCTTGCCTTTGCTGAGCAGGTAGAACTGAAATAACTTGTGATGCAGGATTAGATCAAGTTGTGACCATAAATCCACAAACCACCAGCAAAAGACAGTATGACATCCTCCCCCTAGACTGACCTCCCAAATCGAGGAGACTAGGGTGATGACATACGGACTTCATGAAGAAATCCGCTGCTGCTTCCACAAGAAATAAATGGCTGACACAAGATTCCTTGGGTGGCTGACCATTAAATTTTACAGGCTGGACCAAGACAGTCTTGTCTCGTGTATTATAAATACTGTTGGCATAAAACCAGTACCTGACTCACTATTTTACTGGTTTTTCCACTTTTAAAAAGTCCTCCATTATATAAAATACTGTTATGCTGTATGCTTTCAAATATACAAAATATTTCATACTGTTTTATTTCTTCATTTACAATTGTAATATCTATTTTTTAAGTCAATCAATGAGAATAACGATGCCATTCTGATGGATCTGAAAACACAACCAGAGGTCTATGTGATGCTTGCGGTTTTTCACACATCCACCTCAACACCTGGTCTGCTTTTGCATTTAGTTTGGAATACCTGCTACAGAGAACAATTTCATTCACGCATATAAGCAAGTACAAACACTGGCAGTTTTCATAAAATGGCCCACGGAGCAGTCTGTCCTTGCTCTGACGGGGGCCTCAGGATTACACCAGTTCCTATACTGGGATTTCACTCAATTTTTTGCGCAAATTTCTTAGCTTGGATTGGGCATGTATGGGTGGTCTCAGCTTGGACCTCAGACTCAAGTATGATGCAGAATTCTCACCCAGGGACCTGGGGAATTGCACATTTCCTTGCTGCTGACCAAGGCCAGTGAGCAGAATGTTCCTAGACTGCTCATTGTAGATATAACAGTATTCACAGTGGATGCTACGGTCCTGTTTCCACCCAATCAAGTTCTCAGTTCTGTGGA